TCTCTCTCTCTCTCTCTTCCTAACCACCTACTGTCCTGTCTAAATAAAGGCATAAAACGGCAAAAATAAGTCTTAAAAAAAAGAAAGAAACATTGCTTCTAACTGAAATGTTACTAAAACTGAAATAAACATAAAATTTATTTAAGAAGAAAAAAATCCTTGTTAATGTTTAACACCAAGTTTGGTAATTGACAAGCTGAAATAAAATAATATATAAATATGAGATAAAATACATGAGCTTAAAGGGAAAGTTCACCCAAAAATGAAAATTCTGTCATTAATTACTCACCCTCATGTCGTTCCAAACCTGTAAGACCTTCGTTCATCTTCGGAACACAAATTAAGATATTTTTGATGGAATCCGAGAGCTCTCTGACCCTCCATTGACAGCAAGGATATTACCACGATCAAGGTCCAGAAACGTATCAAGGAGATCGGTAAAATAGTCCATGTGACTGCGAGAATACTTTTTGTGCGCAAAGAAAACAATAATAACATAATTTAGAAGAATTGCTGAATAAATTGTTATTGTTTTCTCATTTCTTTTTATTGTGACTCACTTGTTTTTGCTTTTTTGTAAATAGGGCCCATTTTCTTTTGCACGCACAACGTTTGTGCTAAGATGCTGTAGATTATGCTGTGCATTCATATACTGTAATACACAGGATCAGTGTCAGCTTATAGTGACATAATGTGCTTATCCAGCCATGTGTGCCCAATGAACTTGTTCACCTGCTTGAAGGCACACTGGCTGCTGCGTGTGCAGGAATGTGCTACAGTTGTGATCTGTGACCCGTCACAAACTGGAAAGGTCAAGATTCTGTTGTAGTTGTAGAAGCTTGTTTCTTGTAGATGGATAACTACATGCCACACGCTGAATGAGTAGTCTGGCGAGTAAGTAAAACATTCATTTTGGACTTTGCTTATAACTCCACAGGATAAACATCATGATGCTGCACATGAAATCATCGAAACTATTCGGTAAGTTTGGTTTGATTTTGCTGTTATGTTTGTCTGCTCTTCAAGTTTTATATGCATAATTAAAACATGACTCTTCTCTTTGTCCAGCTGGGTGTGTGAAGAGATCCCAGATCTTAAGCTGGCCATGGAGAACTATGTTCTTATCGACTACGACACCAAGAGGTGAGGAAATTGTCACAAATTGGTCTCATAAGATTGGGTCGATTAGGTATCATTGGAAAATGACGCCTAAAAATAAGTAATAAAAATAATAATAATAATAACAAAATGTAATAATAATAATATTTTATTTAATTATATTACATATATTTATTTATAAAAATTGTTTAATTATTATTAATAATAATATTTGTTAATAGTTATTGTTTTTATTTAAAGTATTAATTTATTATCATTATTATTATTATTAAAAATGGCATTTGTACATGCTAATGAAACAAGTAAATACAAGTTTTGTGAAAGATTTTACAAATTAAATACTTGTAATTACACGCTTAATTTTTAATTTAGAATATTTAACTGAAATATCATGCATCAATTTATTAGTTGTACTACGAATGCTAGTTATATGAAAGTTGATATTATGAAATAACAAGCTTCACGGAATATTACTAATTAAATTATAATTATTTATTATGTACTATTTAATAGAATTATCATGAATCTTTTATTTATTTATACTTTTAGTAATTTTGTAAAAGTTGATATGAATTGACAAAAGAGTCACAAAATATTACCAATTAAATATTTTTAACTTATTTCTACTTCATTTTAAATATATTAAATATTTAATGAAAGTGTGATGAATCATTGATTTTATTATATACAGTCCAAATAGGATATATTAGCTGGAATATATTGCTACTCTTTTGCTTTTCTTGTATCTGAGCACAGCCTCGTGGTTTATTATGAGATGATAATAGATTTCATAGATAATTTTTATTTTTGTGTTTTTATTTTTTTGCAGCTTTGAGAGTATGCAGAGACTATGTGATAAGTACAACAGAGCCATTGACAGCATTCACCAACTGGTACGTCAAGTCTTTTTTTGCGAAAAACAGATTTTTATTTTTCAAACGTGTAAAACTCTGTGTTTGTGTGTTGCAGTGGAAAGGGACCACCCAACCCATGAAACTCAACAAGCGGCCTTCCAACGGCCTGCTGCGTCACATCCTACAGCAGGTCTACAACCACTCCATCACCGACCCAGAGAAACTCAACAACTACGAGCCGTTCTCTCCCGAGGTGTACGGAGAGACCTCCTTCGACCTGGTAGCTCAGATCATTGATGAGATGGAGATGATGGAAGAGGACACCTTCGTGGATCTGGGCAGTGGTTAGTAACATCTGTTATTGAAGGCCTATTCTATGGTGGTCCTGAAGTGCAAATAAAATTCACAAATCAGAAAACTCAACGGTGAATTGAAAAACACTGCAAATTCGCTACCATAATTGGTTTAAACAAGTCTTGATTAGCAGTTTCAGGGTGTATTCACACCTGTCTTGTTTGGTTCGATTGAATCGAACTCAAGTTTGTTTCCCCCCTTGGTGCGGATCTTTTGGGCAGGTGTGAATACAGCAATCGCACTTGGGTGTGGGCCAAACAAGCGTACCGAGACCCAGCTGAAGAGGTGGTCTCGGTCCGCTTCCAAACGAACTCTGGTACGGTTGAATGGATAAACCAATGAATGGATGACCTTAAGCACACGTGTGGTTTTGTTTACAGTTTCTGGTTCACTTGCAAAAAGGGCAGTGTGAAAGCGAACAGCACCAAACAAAAAAAATTAACATTGTATTTGGTCCGGAACAAAGCAAGTGAACTAGCGGACTTTCCTGGTTTGAATACACCCTAAGATTGAAAGTTCATCAAAAATGCACAGCTATTTGGAAAACGCAACAGCGAATTCGCTAACATTATTGGTATAATTGAGTCTTGATTAGAGATATAAGTTTGAAAGTTCATCAAAAATGCACAGCTATTTGGAAAACTCGAGAAAATTCATGACCATAATTGATATAAACGGATTTTTACTAGCAGGTTAAGAGTGAATTTCCAATAAAACACCACAGCAATTTGGAAGCCTACCTTTAAGATAATAAAAATAGAAGAGCGCATTGGAAAATGCAACTGGGAATCAGAAAACACAACTCAAAATTCACTGCCATGTAAACAGATATTGATTACCAGTTTAAGATTGAAAGCTCATTTTATGTGACATACAGTGTCGTCTTGGCTTGATTTGCAGGAGTTGGTCAGGTAGTCCTGCAAGTCGCTGCAGCCACCAACTGTAAACACTACTATGGCGTGGAGAAAGCAGACACTCCAGCAACCTATGCAGAGGTACCAACAGGAAGCCAACACTAAACACTCCATATACACTCCGACTTCTTGAGTCTGCCTCAAAGTGTATGTTTTGCACTAATATTTATGTCTGAATGTGTTTACAGTCAATGGACAAGGAGTTTAAGAGATGGATGAAGTGGTATGGCAAAAAACATGGCGAGTACACGGTAAGTGTGTGTTCGTTTATTATAACAGATGTTATTACTTCATTATTGTGACTGAAGGGATGAAGTCTATACATACTGATGTTGTTTGGTCTTGTGCGGCAGCTGGAAAGGGGAGATTTCCTTTCAGAAGAATGGAGGGAACGAATAGCCAACACAAGGTATGATCACATACAGACTAGTTAGATGCTTATAACCAGTTAACATTTTTCAGATTTTTTTGATTTGTCATAATTTCTTCAACCGTTTGCGTGTTGCTTATTCATCTTGTATAAGTCTATAGTCTGATGTGCTCTTTTACAGTGTTATTTTTGTGAATAACTTTGCCTTTGGTCCTGAGGTGGACCACCAGCTGAAGGAACGATTCGCCAACATGAAGGAAGGTACGTGTTGTCATGTGATTTTAAAAAAGATAACTAAATAATAAGTAGGGCTGCACAGTCAATCAGTCAAATTGAAAAGCATGAGAGAAGGTGTAATTCTATTTGTGTAAAATGTTTTTAATCAATTCAAATCGCAATATTAATCGCATTTGACCATTTTGTGCAGCCCTAACATGAAGTAAATAGCACTTGGCTGCTAACATTTGAAAAAGAAGGGGGTCTGTGTCAGTGTAGCTCAAAGGCACCTGTGTCAACATGTCGTTCCTGACCTTTGACCTCAGTCAGGCTTGTTTTTTTGGTTCGCATTGATCTGCAGATGTTGAGGGGATGATATGTGTTTAGGTTTTCGCCTCTCTATGTTACTTGGGAGTGTTTTGACTCAATTTCGTCTCTTGTAGGTGGAAAAATTGTATCCTCAAAACCTTTTGCACCTCTTAACTTCAGAATAAACTGTCGAAACTTGAGTGGTAAGTATAAAACTTTGTACATCAGGTTTCTCTTACAAAAGATGGTACTATACAATAACTGCCATTAACTTTAAAGATGTATTTCTTTAGTACCATGGTAATACCATGGTAAAAGTAAGCATTAAGATGCGGTCACAGTTAACGTTGTTTGGCGAAATTTCACAGGTTAAATCCAGTCATTCTGAAAGGAATCTCCACGATCTTGAGTGTGGAAAAGTTGGTCATATGTCTTAATGCAACTGATGTTTTTTCGTGCAAAAATTCACTAATACGCAAAAATTTAGCAACAAAAATTTTACAGTGTCAATAGTGTAGTAATGTATGAAGCAACACTCACTTAGAAGCCAAACCAAGCAGCTTTCTGTTAGCCAACGTGGCAAATTCGCGTGAAAAATCTGCATAGGAAAGAGTTTCACCTTTACGTGAAATTCCCAGTTGTACAGATGTACAGAATTATACAAATTTTGCAGAGCAATGTAAATATGACTGCACCTTTCCAATGTTTAATGGTCTTTATTGCGTTTGTTTTTAGATATTGGCACAATAATGAGAGTAGTTGAGCTGTCTCCTCTGAGGGGATCGGTTTCGTGGACGGGGAAGCCAGTGTCGTACTATCTGCATACGATAGACCGCACCATAGTAAGTGCCCTTTCATTTGTGTCACATGGGTTTCGTTGTTCCTCTTGGTGTACAATGGGTCTCTTATTTGCATTAGCCATTATTGTTAGGCAAATGACGTTGAGTGTGGCTTTGTGAGCATCACATGTACTGATATCTAACCAACCTTTTATTTTTTTTCTTGCAGCTTGAAAACTATTTTTCTAGTCTAAAAAATCCTAAACTCAGGGTAAGACTTGTTTGGTTCTCATGTTGTTTATGGGTTTTTGGACAAAATATCAAGCTAGATCTCTTCCCACAACACATGTGGCTTGTTTTTGGTTCCAGGAGGAGCAGGAGGCAGCCAGAAGGCGCCAGCAGAAGGACAGTAAGGAGAATAAGAGCAACACCACCACCCCGACCAAGCCCAAGGAGCACAAGGTAGACCTACGGGAGTTAATCGTTTATTTATTTTAATTAATTCATTTTATTAATTCACACACACACACACACACACACACACACA